GAAGCGGCCGGCGGAGAGGGCGAGCTCCGCCCGAGCGGCCGCGCTAAGAGCTTCGCCCTTTCAAACGCGTCTGACAAGCGGTCACAGGGCTAATGGCAGCGGATCTTCGGTGGCGCACGTAATAAAAAAGTAATAAAGCGCTTTTATGGCAAAGTATTTTTGTACTGCTGGGAACTATTTTTTTCCTTACAGTGATTCACTGGGTTGCTCGCTGGTACATCTGAGTATGAGTTCACACATCTCTGCAGAGAACGCGGAACCTTTACACAAGCTGCCAGTTTTCCTTCGCCCTGTTTTTCTCATTGGCATCTCTAACTGTGTTCAATAGAAGCAGTTTTATTCTCCGTTTTCAGCCTATATATTAGAGAGCGGGAGGGCAAGGGGGTGGGAAGGCAGCAACGGTACTAGACCAAGGGGTCCCTCCGTAGTGACCTTGTGTTGAATGCCTTTTCGCTTCTTTTTTTAAGAAAAAATTACTCATGGTTACAGGGCAAAACGTCCGTTCCAGCAATGGCCCACTGCTTTTTTAAAGCAGGCAAAAGTCTGGACCGCTTTTCATTCCGTTCCCCCCACCGCCCACCACATTATTTTAAATTCTTCCTTAATTATTACTCCTTGCAACGACCACTGAATCACTTCTTAAAAATGAAATTAAAACGCGGCATTTAAGCAGATGATATGTATGTAGTTAAAACACCAATTGCAGACGAATGATCTGTGCCTCCGTTTACGTGTAGGTCACGCATTTTGTGCAGGCAGGTACAGAAAGATAACATTTCCCCCCCCCCGCCCTTATACTATGTTTGACCGTCTCGTCCGCCGTCATTACGGCTTCGTTAATGTAAAAGGGCAGCTCCAGTAGTAAATACCTGATAACATCCCAGTTATGGGATGCGTGCAGGCCGAACTGCAAGTTTCTTTGCAGGGAGTCCCACCGTCGGTAGCGAACAATGCGAAGCGCAAGGTGGGTTTTTGGTTTTTATTTACCCACCACCACCACCACCTTCGGCGCCAAGAAACCCTCAGCCCCGCTCTGCCTGCTGCAAGGGACCAGCCCGTGGCT